GTTCTGTTTACCTTTACAGTTATGTTTTCTACTGTTTCCAAGTCAGACCAAGCTACTTCTAGTTCCCGAGTTAGCCCCACTCACTCTCATATGCTTTGTGCTGCCTCGTTGCCTAACTCCCTCCACTATCAAATCCTTCTACCTACTAAATTCAGACCCATTGTGTCTCAAGGGGCAGCATCCCTGACCACCTCTCTGTTCTCCTTTTGAGTCCTTCATTAATAAAAGTTTGTTTCTCTGAACTAGTAAACTCAGAGTTCCTTGAAACCAGAACCTGAGTCTCCTTCTCATATTTCCATCTGGCATGTAGGACAGGTCAGACACAAAGGTGCCAAATTAAAATGATGAGTGAACCAACATATACAACATACATATCCTCCCAACTCCCAAAGTGTTTTGGTAAAATCCTCTCTCTCTGTTATTCACCTGTCTGCACTGAGAAAAATATCTTTTAAGTGGAAGGAGAACATGCCCAATAAAAAAAATCCCCATGAAAACACACTGTAAAGATAGACCCTATGTCTCATTACACAGCCCATAAAGCCATGAAAGTTGTCTGCAGTCCACACAGTAACTCTCCTTAACTAAATGAATTCTGACGTCTTGAAAAAGTGGGCTGGGTGCAGTGGCTCACGCCTGTAATCCCAGCACTTTGGGAGGCTGAGGCAGGCAGATCATGAGGTCAGGAGATTGAGACCATCCTGGCTAACATGGTGAAACCCTGTTTCTACTAAAAATACAAAAAATTAGCCAGGCATGGTGGCACACACCTGTAGTCCCAGCTGCTCGGGAGACTGAGACAAGAGAATTGCTTGAACCCGGGAGGCAGAGTTTGCAGTAAGCAAAGATCGTGCCACTGCTCTCCAGCCTGGGCGACAAAGCGAGACTCTGTCTCAAAAAAAAAAAGAAAAAAAAAAAAGTGACGGGGCATCAAAAAAGTTTTTAAATAGCTTTGAAAAGTAACTACTTTCTATTTCTGAGCTTTTGTTTTATTAATCTTTTAAACCCAATATTTAGAAACCATTCGTTTTGACAAAATAAACTTCCTTGTACTACACATTTGTCTCATTTTATCATAAAACCATTCAGCATTATCTCTATAGAGCAGTATTTTGATAAATGTGTAGAAGATAGTTTCTACCGTAAAACAGACCTGTATATGCCAGCCGAAGATTCAAAAAGAAGAATGCTTACCAGCTGAATAGCTGTCTGTTTTAGGACCCAAGTAACCACAGCCTTACAATCAAATAATTCCCTGTCCCATCTCCCAAATCCCCAATGTATATTAAAGACCCACTTCAATTACTCAGGGGAGGTTTCATAAGTTAATTATAACAAAAACGTTTGGTAGAAGGGGAACAGCTAATTATTTTCCCTGTTTATATAATATAATCTATGGTTTTACAGAAAAGCAATGAAAACACTAGATAAGTATCTGTGGGGTGGATTAACAGAAATGCAAAAGGATATTCCAATTCCTATGTCAGCATTAATTAGTGCCCCATGCCAACATCTTCTTGCCTTTGTTTTAATTTAAATGTAAATTCAGGCGAATTTTTTATTTTAGATCCTTTCTATTCTTATTGACAAATAAGATAAGAGGAACATATCAGCAGAGGATAGGTCTTCTCCACATGCCATTTAAGGGCATGATACTGCATAATTATTATGGGATAAAGATTAATAAGGTAAAACTAAAAAGCCCTAATGGAAACATATTCAGAAAAGGAAGAGATCAAAGAGAGATGAAATCAGACATACATCCCAACCAAAGCTTAAACTTCCTACACTTCTCAGTGACTTTGATCCAATAAACATTTATTGAACACTGACTGTTTGCCAGACAATGTTAGGTATAGGAGACACAAGTTGAAAGACCCAATCTCACCTTTCAGGGTGTTGGTATTTTCTGACCACAAATGTTAATGCAAGTTACATGTTTACATCAAGCATAACCTGCACTGTCCAATGTGAAGCTTTGAGCCACAAGTCCCTATTAAATCTAAATTTACACTAGCCACATTTCAAATGCTCCATAGCCATGGGTGGCTAATGGCTACCAGCCACACTGGACTTATACATCATCACATATAGATATAGGTATCTATCTACACAGGTTATCTCCATAAATATATATAGAGGGAACATGTGCATCATCACAGAAAGTTCTAGTAGACAGCATATACAACATATGCTGCATAGACTCTGCTCAGATGCTCCATGATTGGTCCATATCACACTTCCTATGACACTAGGGAAACCATTTAGTTAACCTGCGAGTCTGTTTTGCCATAAACACAACCAAAATGTCCATCAATAAAGGAGTGACCAGGTGTAATGGCTCACAACTGTAATCCCAACACTTTGGAAGGCTGAGGTAGGAGGATTGCTTGAGCCCAAGAGTTCAAGGCAGCAGTGAGTTATGATCATGCCACTGCACTCCAACCTAGATGACAGAGCAAGACCCTATAATTTTTAAAAAGGAAGAAGAATGGCTAAATAATTATGGCCTATCCTTACATGGAATGCTATGGAGCAATTGAAAACACCCAGTTAGATCAATACGTACCAGCACACAAAGATTTCTGCAACTTAATACTGATAGGAATAAAGCAGGATGAGTGTAATATCCAATGTGATAGCATTTGTGTAAAACATACACTCAAATTGAAATCTACCACTGTTTCCTACAACCCTAGCTCCAAATACACAAATATACAGAAATATATTGACCAAACAGATAAACGTAGTTACTTCTAGGGTGGTGGCCAAAGGGGATTTGCCCATACATAAAATTTAAAACAAGAGAGTCTGGGGTAAGGTATTCATATTTTCTTTACTAAGATACTAATAGTCATCACTGCCCTATCAATACTTTTTAGGTACCAATAAAAGTGCTTTGAATATTGTAAAACATTATTCTGGGTTAGACAGAATATAAAAAGAGTTTGTTAGAAGACATTTAAGGCCTGCAGAGGTAAGCCAACACATTGCCTGTAGAGAACAATCTGTGATTAGCAAAGTCCATTCTCCACTGTACTAAAATTTCTTCATGGGCCAGCCAATGGGGAAAGATGAAAGTAAGAGACCATGTCCCTCTCCACAAACTGTTTACATACTATCTGGAAGGCATACATTTTTACAATAACATGGGCTGAATGTCATGAACTGGAAATCCAAGTTGATGCAAGAACTTACAAGAGATTTGAAAGCAGAATAAGAAGAATTAAGCAGACCAGGTGTGTTTTATGGGGAGGAGGGCAATGATTCAGGCAAGGGATGTAAATTAGTAATGTGCAGAAATGAAAAGAAATGGGAAGAACTCGGATTGCCTAGGGTAGAGTACTTGAAAGAGAACTGAGACACAGATCTTGCAGGGCTCTGCAAGCCATGGTAAAGAACTTAGAGTTTATCTTAAAGACAGTGGGAAGACACTAACGTGGGGTCTTCAGTGTGGGAGTGACATAATTCATTCTGTTTGTGTAGATCATTCTGGCTACAGGACTGAAAGTGGAAGCAGAGATGTGGCACACTCAGCAAGATCTAAGGGTGACCCCTAGACTGTGGAGGTAGCAGTGGGGATGGAGAAAAGTAGGCTGATTTGAGAGACAGCCAGGAGAAAGAATGGTTGTGATTTGGATTCAATTAATAGAGATGATAAATACATTAGACTTCCCCAGCTGGAGGTGTAGAAACTCTGTGTATTTCTTAAAAGAAATTTAAAAGTGCCATTTTTTTATGTTAAAGATCTTCATCTTCTTTTATAGGTTCACAATCCTTTATCAATAATCCCCAAATCCAAAAAGCTCTGGAAATTGAAAGGTTTTCTGTAAGATGACAGCAAACCAGACTTGAATTAACAAGTTCTTTATCCAGCCTTATCCCATCCTGCATGAATATTTGCACATTTCACTGCAGATATAGTAATATTTCTATGATTATGGGGGGCAAGTGGAGAGTACATTAGGTCTGTAGGTAATAGATGGTATATGTGCTATGTTACCCACAAGAAATATGAGCAAATTCTGAATTCAGCAACACATTTGGCCCCCAAAGTTTCTGATAAAGAACTGTAGGTGGAAATTTTCCACTTTCACTTTCCTGCTTTAAAGGTGGCTGAGATGGTGCTGATACATATATACCACTGTAGCCACACAGCCCATATAGTTGTGTATGTCTATGTGTGTGTTTGGTAGGGGGAATGGGATGCAGGTAAATCAGCCGTTCTTGTTCACTGTGCAATATGATCTGGAGTTAAGAATGTGGGTGTTTTAACTGCTGACCTTTAGACATGCATCAAATGAGACTGGAAATGTTCATTTTCAGGGAAGTTTGTGACACTGCAGAGCAACTGATACAGACTAACCCCGTGTATCTGTTCCCCTGGGGACTGACACTTGTTTCTAACATGGCATCTGCTGGAAGAAGCCAGGGGTATCAAAAGAAATCAATCCCAGGTTTCCATCTACAACCATCGGCACAGCACTGTGCTAGGGGATCTGGAGATTACAAATGAATGATACATGATTCCAAACTATTCCCAGGGAAGTTGTTCCAAAGAGAATGTCCTATAAATGTTTGTTAAAATGATAAACTAGAAATAAAAGAGAGGATACTAATCTACGACACCAAGCATGAAGTGAGAAAGTCATGCTGCTAATTTTGAGTACAGAGTATATAAGAGATGGGAGAACAGGGCATCTGTGGAAACAATTGCTTTGGTGAGTGAGATTTGGAGACAGGTGGGCAAAAGGAATCGAAGCACGTCTTCCCAATTGCCCTATAATACAACTCCCCATTGGTACCCCTTGAGGGACATTATTGAAGACTTACCTTACCATCAAGACATTTTTGGAGTTGTATTTATGTTCACTTTGGATTGACACTGATCTCAAAGCAACCCTAGGTTTCTTTGGGTTGCAAAGGCAGCAAAGTAGAGAAATTCCTGGTGGGTTTTGACCTTTTTGGAATATCAGCGATAGTGACCAGAGAGGTCTTACCTTCAACGCAAGAAGGTTGAGCCCGAGTTGTGCCGGCCACCTGTCCCGGGAAGCAAGAGCACTTGACCGTTTGTGACCGCTCTTCTATGCGGTTCTTATTGCAGCACCTGTGCACTGCAACCACCTCACAGGTACCCTGCTTGATTTGGTGGTGACCTAGTAGGTAATGGGGGGAGAAAAACAAACCCAGTGCTGTTAGAAGGAAATGACAGCATCAAAACCAGAACGATGCTATGATGACATTTTCCAACTTCCTGTGCTATGCTTATGAGTCTTTTTATAACATTTTATTTTGATAACATGTCATTTCAAATTTATATAAAGCTGGTGAGAAGAATGCAAAAAGCTTCTGTGAACCTGTGGTAGGCAGAAATGAGGCCTCCAGGATCATCAACCCCTGGGGCTACACTCATGGTTATGTCACATTAATTACATGACAAAGGAGATTTTGCAGATGTGACTGAGATTAATTGATTTTTTGTTTTTTTGAGAGGGAGTCTCAGTCTGTCACTGAGATTGGAGTGCAGTGGTGTGATCTCGGCTCATTGCAACCTCCACCTCCTGGGTTCAAGCAATTTTCCTGCCTCAGCCTCCCGAGTAGCTGGGATTACAGGTGTGTGCCACCATGCCCAGCTAATTTTTGTATTTTTAGTAGAGACAGGGTTTCACAATGTTGGCCAGGCTGGTCTCGAACTCCTGACCTCAAGTGATCTGCCTGCCTTGGCCTCCCAAAGTGCTGGTATTACAGGTGTGAGCCACCATGACTGGCCAACTGGTTGATTTTAAGAGAGGGAACGTAGCCTGGATTATCCAGATCGGGCCATTCAGGGCTCAGATGAGCCCTGGAAAGCAGACAGATGAAAAGCTCCAGGTGCCATTGCTGGCTTGAAGATGGAGGAGCCACATGTCAAGGAAATGGAGATCTCAGTCCTACAACCTCAAGAAATGCCAATAACCAGAGTAAGCCTGGATGCTGATTCTTCCCCAGAGCCTCCCCTAAAGGAATGCAGCCTACAGATACTTTGAATTTAGCCAGATGGTGAGATGCTGGGCAGAGATTCCAGCCAGGCAGTGCTAGACTTCTGACCTGCAGAAACATGGTGCTAAATGTGTGGTACTTTGTTATTAGTTGGCAATTGCTGCTGTAACAGACTTCACCCAGGTTCACCAGCTAATATGTGGCCCCATTTGCTTTATCATTCACTCTCTCATGTTTTTCTAAGCCATTTGAGAGTAAATTTCAGACATGATGCTCCTTTACCCCTAACTACTTCACTGTGTATTTTCTAAAAACAAAGACATAAGGTTACATAATGATTAAAGATAGAAAATTTGACATGACATAATGCTACTATGTAATGTACAATCTATATTCAAATTTTGCCAATATCCCAATAATGCCTTTTATAGCTATTTTCCCCATGCTCAGAATCCAACCAAGGTGCATGCATTGCATTCAATTGTCACATTTCATTAGCCTCCTTTATTCAGAAACTCCTTCTCAGTCTTTCTTTCTTGACCTTGACATTTTTCAAGAGTTATATGCCAATTATTTTGCAGAATGTCTCTCAGTTTGGATTTGTGTGATGCTTCCTCTTGATTAGATTCAAGCAATGCATCTTTAGCAGATTGTCCCAGAAGTGATTCTATATTCTTAGTGCATCATATCAGGAAACACCCAACGTCCTTTCATCCCATTATCAGTGCTATTACCTTTAATTAAATGGTGAGGATGGTATCTGTCAGCCTTTTCCATTGTAAAGGTATTATTTTTCCCTTTATGTTAGTAAGCATTTTGAGGGAGATATATTAGTGAGACTATGAATATATCCCATTCTTTATCAAACTTTCACCTACTAGTTTTAGTATCCATTGATGATTTCCACCTGAATCAATTATCAATATGATAGTTGTAAGACTGATTCTATGTTAATGTTCAAATCATCCCAGATCTGGGCAGGAGGAGACCCTTCCAATTATCCCAGATCTAGGCAAGAGGAGCTGTGACATATTCTCATATTCTTTGAGAACTTACTAACCTTCTGACCCTCAAGAAGTTCCAGACTTACCTGGTATTTTCCCTGCCCCCATAATTTCTTCAAGAATCCTTGATTACTTTTCATGGGGCATCAGACTTAGAAACCTGAATCTCAATATGTAGGTTTACTCATCACAATTAGGGAGTGACTCAGGCCCTTTCAGCAAATAGGTCAAGGAAGTATGTGTGCAGGTACAGCATAAGTACACACTGACATCTCCGATTCCAATCTAGCACCACAGTTTCTTGCTACTATCCCATCACCAACCACCTGAATTCCATCATCCTGTGATAAACAAAGTAGTTTCTGTATTGCATATGTACTTAAGGGTAATTTACATTGGAATCCATTTATCAGTTAGGAGTCTTTTGTTAGAACAACAGAAACTGATTTGAGCTAACTTAATGCAAAGAGACTTTACTGGAAGATCAGGAGTTTGTAGAATGAAGAGTGAGTGTAGCTAACCATAAGTAGAACTACTCTCATGGCTCGACCTGAGTGAGTAATTCCACCCAATCTGTCATGCTGCTCCACACGTCAGTTCTAGGAAAGGGTGCATCTGACTGGCCTGACTTAGGTCACTTGTCAGCTGTGGCAGCCACCCTCTAAGATGCTCCCTTGTCATCCCCACCACCAAGTATTCACAGGTTTGTGCAGTCCCTTCCCACATGGTACCAGGGTTGGTCTATTTGAGCAAAAGCATGCAGCAGATGTGCTGGTTTGTCCAAAATTAGGTGGCTGTCATCTCCAGGCCCTCAGATCACTCACTCCGGGGAAACCCTGGCATGAGCAGCCCTACAGACAGGCCTAGGTGGTAAGAAACTGAAGTGTCCTGACAACAACTGTGTCAGTAAACTTGCAAACAGACCCCTTGCGTGGGCCCCTCCCACATTAATCCAGAGTTACTCGGTCTGTGTGACAACAGCATACCACAGCAGAAGTGATTGCTTGCCATGTGCACGATTAGGTGATAAGACAATGGCATGCTCACTCATGTGTTCATCTGTTCTGGGGAAACCATGTTGTGAGCAGCCCTAGGTAGAGGCCCACATAGCCAGGAACTACAATCTACTGCCATTGGTCACATGGGTAAGTGTGGAAGTGGATCCTACAGCCCAACCAACAGCATAACTACACTCTCATGGGAAATCCTAAGCCAGAACCACCCAGCTAAGCCACTGCCAGATTCCTGATGCTCAGAAGCTGTGTGTGAGATAATAATGTCTGTTGATTGTTTCAGGTTTTCAAGATTTGGGGTAATTTGTTACACAGCAGTAGATAACTAATACACCAACTCTGGCTATACCAGGCTGGAGGGACTTACCTTTGCTCTGATAAAAATAACATAAACAAGATTGTAGAGGTTCTGTTCAGAAATTATTAAGGAAAGACAACTTTTTCAAGTACCCTCAAGTGTGCTCATGATTTTCAGATACATCCATTTACATAGAAACTGTTATGTGAATTGTAAGCAATTTCATCTACTCATTAAAAGAGGTCTCCCCGAGGATTCCCACTGGTGAATGCTTTGCTTAGTTTCTGCTGATGCATGTGTTTCAAAATAAAACCAATTTCAAAATATTCCATGATTCAGACTTTTTATCCATAAAGACAGGCTTTCCAAACAATAACCTCTATATTATTCTGAATGTTTTCTGGACCAACCTTGTCATGCCATCTTCAATGTTGATGGCAGGAAAATTCAATTACTGGTGAGAACAAATGCTAAGGCAGACAGAACCAGTACCCAGAGAATCAAACTACCAGCAAGAGAGAAAGTTTTCAATCTACTACTTAAGAAAGCATGAATATGGAGAAGTGATTAAAATGATAAACCTAATTAAATGTTCATAACAAGAGCATTGATTTCCCCATAGGTAGTTGTACACAACTGTAAAATTAAATAAATAGTAATTATAATGTCAGTAAAATACTATGAAACTTTAGCACTGAGTGAGCAGAAAAGTAAGGACTGGGAAAGGCTGGAGGGGAGATCCTGTCTTTGGTTCCAATTGCAAATCAGCAACTTTCAGTCAAACATTCCCTGGCAGCTAATGACTAGCTATGAGCAGGGGCCAGGAGGAGTCATTCACAGTTATCTCTCAGGAAATGTCCTCCCATTGGTCACTGTCTCAGTCTGCTTGGGCTGCCATAACAAAATACCATAGACTTGGTGGCCTAAACAACAGAAATGTATTTTCTCACAGTTCTGGAGACTGGGAGTCTAAACTTAAGATGTCAGCCTGTACAGTTCTTGATGAGAGCTCTCTTCCTGGCTTGCAGACAGTCACCTTCTTGCTGTGTCCTCACATGGAGAACAGAACAAGCTCTGGTGTCTCTTCCTCTTTTTATAAGGACACCAGTCCTGTCAGATTAGGGCCATGCCCTTAAATGACCTCATTTACTCTTTATTACCACCTCACAGGCCCTCTCTCCAAATGTAATCACATTTGGGGTTAGGACTTCAGCATATGAATGTTGAAAGGATACAGACATTCGGTCCATAACAAACCATCATGCCTTGGTTAGATTACTAAATGACCCTTGAGTCTGTAATGAAAGCAGTTTTAAACTCCACTAAGAAAATGAAAAATATATGTGTCAGTAACTTCTTGGAGCAGTCAAGAAACGATCTGGACATTCAGTAATGCTATGATTTACTTAGAACTCTGGTGCTATATAACCATCCACAAGTACAAATGAATTATTTTCTATTCAGACTTAGGACTGGGCCACATTGCCCTGAATTATCAGCTTGCCTGAACCAGAATTTTAATTATTTATACAGCATCAACTATTGTACTTCACTGATTTTAAAATACATATTTTTTTCACCTTTTAACACATCAGGAGGTGACATAACTAATAGCACCTTATAATTATAATTGGCACTGCTTTTCCTTCTTAGGAATACACACAAAAGTGGTATATCTCACAACTGATGGCATCTTAGATTTGATAAAATACAGGTTTTAGGTACTTTTTGAATTTTTTTTTAAACAAATATCCTGTGCAATCTTATAAAAATGCTATGGGGTAGGTATTACTTTTTACTCTGATTTTATCTTTAAGAAAATGTACAGAAATTAACTAATTCACCCAGGACTTCATAACTAG